ACCTGTATTTTTTGTTGTACGCAACACCTTACAATAAGAGTACATCTATGAACAGTACTCAAGAGTAAGCAAGCTCTCTTGGTAAAGACTGAGATCTGTGGACAGACTCCCTGATCTTAATAATTCTTTTTGAAAGTATTAGTTAATTATTAATAATCATTTCATGTTCTTTGTGACCCTTGTTGAAAAATAGCCTTTGTATATGTCTTAAGAACTAAGTACTTTGTTCTTATGCCAATAGCTGAGTCACATCAATGAACACAATATCACAGGTAATATCTAATGTGCTAGTTATCATTACCTTGTTAAAGACTGAGACATTACTTAAGCGTTTAGTAATGGTTATAAACTATTTAATAACATCTAAAATTGTTAGTTCTTATTTCTATCATTAGTTAGTAATTAATTGGTACATTACTTCATCATTTAGTAATGTTTATTACTCTCTTAAAAACCATTAACAGAATTAACAGATGTACTCTTATTGTAAAGTGTTATCCACATTTTTATTATTATTGTTTCATCATTTAAAAAAACTTTTTGACTTTTATTAAACAGGCATGTTCTTTACTGTTCTTTTTGCCATATTCTGTTTCATTTATATAGTTTTACAATTTTATTTACATGCTGGGAAACAGTGCAATTTGCATTTTTAGGTATGAAATGTGCTACATACAAAGTTATTATAAGTTCAAAGCTGTGCAAATAACATGATGCACTAGACCTCTTAGGTTCAATGTTCTTGTTTCTCTTTCATTTTTCAGTAATTACTGTGAGTAATTAAGCAATATATGCTGCTGGCATAAAAGGCATCATGCCCAGCTGTCACTGTGTCTTAAGATGTCTCGACAGTATTTATTGTCTTGAGACATTTTCTTATGCCAAGATCCGTGTCTATAGACATGACTTAAAGATATGTCTTCATTTCTTAAGACATGCCTCAAGATGTCCTAAGATGTCTTCATAATGTGTCTTTAGACATGTCTTAAGACATCCCAAGACATGGTAATGGCTGGGTATGATAGTAAAAAGTACCTACCTTCACTGGTAGATGTTGAAGTCTCTAAACAAACTTAGAGCAGGGAGGGCTTTAGTGTGACTGAATTTATAGCAAATCTGTTTGGAGGCGTATTATAGACAAAAAAAAAGGAAATGTTAAAATGAGACTGCATTATCAACAGAAAGAATAAAAGCTTTTTATCAAAAGAAATGACACGTGTTTTTGTATACCTGCCAATCTGATATTAAGTTATTTACGCATCTTTGAACATACTGAATCACATTCTGTGTTAAGATATAGGTGAAGGTGGAAAAACATAAGCGAGACCAGAGATATATGATATTGCATTCGAAGTGCACCTCTATTGCTGTGACTCATTGCATTAGGTTACACCCTCTCTCTTTGTATCTACACTCTTCGTCCATTTTATCAGCTCTACTGACCATATAGGTGGACTTTATAGTTCTACAATTACAGACTGTAATTCCTTTGCATAATTCCTTTTCACACCTTTACCCTGTTCCTTAGTTGTCAGGATCCCCACAGGACCACCACAGAGTAGATATTGTTCGGGTAGTGAATCATTCTCAACACTGCAGTGACACTGACTTGGTGGTGGTGTGTTGTGCTGGTACGAGTGGATCAGACACAGCAGTGCTGCTGGAGTTTTTAAACACCTAAGTGTTACTGCTGGACAGAGAATAGTCCACCAACCAAATATGTCTAGCTGACAGCATCTTGTGACCACTGATGAAGGACTAGAGGACGACTTACACAAACTGCGCAGTAACAGATCTACAAGGTGGACACAGTGTTTAAATGCTTCAGCAGTGATGCTGTGTCTGTTCCACTCATAGCAGCGCAACACACATTAACATGTCATCACTGTGGCAGTGTTACTGCAGTGCTGAGAATGATCCACCCTAATAATGCCTGCTCTGTGTGGGGTCCTGTGGGGGTCTTGACCATTGAAGAACAGGGTGCAAAGAGGCTAACAAAGTATGCAGACAAACTGATGGACTGTTTTGTAATTGTAGAACTACAAAGTCCATTTATATAGTAAGTGGAGCTGATAAAATGGACAATGAGTGTAGAACCAAGGAGGTGTTCCAGATAAAGTGTTAGGTAAGTGTATACTGTGTTTTTTAACCTTTCACATTACAGTTTATGAAATCATATATATTCCATCAGGTGACAAGCATATGTATATCAAGCACTGGACATAACACAGGGCATGAAAAAAAAATCATTCCACAAGACATCTATCTGTGCAGAGGGAGGTGAATGTAACAGAAGATACTAAGTATGTGTGTTGTGTTTGTATCAAAGTGCAAGGCAAATGGATTGACTCACATGGTTCCAAAATGCATCTTTCAAATACGACAAGATCTTTCAAAAGGTCCGATGAGTCTGAGGTAATTACTGTTTTCTTTGCACATATTTAATATTTTGTTCAAATAAAGGCTATTAAAACTAATTTAGTAATTAGACATGCCAATCCATCCGAGATTTTGATCAGTTAATTAATCATTGTGAACTGGGAAGATGTGGAGTCTGAGAACTGGGTTAAAAGTAATTACATTCCCTTGTCAAAAAGCCATATGCTTCAATATGATGTTAGTCTACTATATGCAGGATGTTCCAAGTATATATACTTTTTGCTTTATATTTAACTTTTTACCTACTGAATCTATGTTTTAGTATACTATTAAAATGTTGGGTGTGCTAATTAGCACTAATTATATACTACATTAAAATAAATACTATGCTTGTTTTAAGATAAAACTATACTTTTGCAAAGTGCATCCTAGGCGCATGTGTTACTGCTGTGTTTAGAATATACTTCAATGAAATGTATTAATTTTTAAAATTAATTAATTAATTTTGTGCTGAAACGGTGCTTCATCACACTATGCTTACAGTAAACTGTGCTTATTTTATACTGAAACTTTTCTTAAAGATAAAGAGTGTTTATTTCTGTGTCCTATGAAACTATGCTTCAATTAAATATACTCCAAAAACATTAATATTACATTAAAAATGTGTTTGCAGTGAACTGTGCTTATTTTATGTTAAAATCGTACTTTAACAAAACATTTCTAAACAATGTGTTATTTACGTGTTAAACCTATACTTCAGTGTAGAGGGCTTGAAACAATGCTCACGATGAAATATTCTGCATTAGCAGTATGATATTATTAGTGATAAATTTGATGTCTGGCCATATTGAATGTGTAAATATAAAGTGCATGTACACTTCAAAACAGATTCTAAATATTCTGAATTGTGATAATTTGATGTTAATAGTATGATACAATGTTTATTGTATGATACAATTTTAGATCTAACAGTGGAAAAAAGGATCTTTTTTCTGCTCCGACATTGCAGCACAGAGTGCTGAAGATGAAGGACTTTAATGGTAAGTTATCTTAAAATAAAGTACAACTTAAAGGCGCAGTACATGATTCTGGAGAATGATTTTTGATACTTAACAGCAAAACAAATACACCCCTCCCTTCAGTGCTCCTTCAGAAAGGCAAACAACACTGGGCTAGCAAACTACTTTTTTTTGGATCTTCATGGCCATAAAACCCTTTCCAAAGTTGTATGGACAAATACCAATACATAACATTAGAGCGAACAGAGACACAGCAAGTAATGTGACTAACATTAGTATTGTGGGTTAGCAAACTGTCACTACAAGTGCTGAAGCAAAGCTAACCACATGAGTAAACGTGACAAAACAATACTGACCTCTTGGTTCTGTGAAACAGCAAAAATAAGTTCATGTTGCCAACCTGTCAAGCAGAAAGACAGCAACCTCCTCATCCCTTTTCATGTCGTTCAGCTCTCGATGAAGCTGAATTTTCCCGTTCCACTATAAATGGTGCAGCAATTACATTCAGGCGACAGAATGGAACCACTGCATGATTTAAGGTGGAACTGGAAAAATGCAAATAGGAAGCAAATTTCAGCCTTGTCAACTTTCAGAGGTCTCTCCACCATTAAACACATCACCATCACTTTTCAGAGGTCTCTCCATCATTAAACACATCACCATCACCTTTCGGAGGTCTCTCCACTGTTGAAACGCCTCACCATCACCTTTTGGAGGTCTCTCCACTGTTGAAACACTCTTGCCTGCTCTAAGAACTTCTTTCTCAATCTTTCTGCTGATCTTTTCCACTTTAGCTTTACTCCTACCACTATTTCAGTTGTGTTTTAGTGAGTCATTATTTCACTTTATTATATAGGTTAAGGTTGCTCTACACACCTCTGACAAAAAGTCCCATTCCTAGTTGCTTATAAAATGTGACAATGTATATTACGTACAATGTGTTTAGAACATTAATTTGTTTCTTCCACTTTACACCTATATATTCACCCTGCTGAAAGAACACTATTAGAAACATTCGCATTTAAAACCTGATGGTTTTGCCTTCTAATGGGAATTGCACAGCTTCCCAACTTTGAAACAGGGTTGTAGTACCTTACAAGTAATCTGGTGAGACATGAGTGACCAGCACAGATCTTAATGTATGGGTGTAATATGGTTATGCACAGAGGCAGATATAAGCAGCCATTCAGCTGCACTTTTAGAATGTGGAGATGAAGAGCAGGGAGAAGAGCATTGCAGTAATCAAGATGAGGTTCTTATTGGTCATTGTGATTTTTTTTGTCAATATTACTGTTGTAAGTTAATATAATCCTTAGTTTATAAATAATTTATAAATATTATTAAAAGAAGACACCAAATAAACAATCATGAAGGCAAACATGAAAGAAAAGTATGATGCACATTCCAGATTTTTCCAGACAAAACAAAGTCAAAACTTCAAAATGATAAACAAATGCACCCAAATCTGATATTCTGTACTCCATAAAATAACTACTACTACATTACACACACATTGATTATTGATTATTTGTTATTTTTAACTACCCAGATCCAAAAAGACTGACATTCCCCACATTTATTTTATGTGTTTTCCTTCATTAATCAGATTTTTCCAAGCTTGGAAGTTTTCTTATGTCCAATGACATTTTCAATCTCCTTGAGCAGTTTCTCCTTGTTGTTTTTGATGTTTAATCCAGCTTTCTCCAGAAGATCTGTGATCATTTCACGACTGTAGTTCATTTGAAAAGTGGAATATCTTTTCTCCCACTTCTTAATTTCTCCTGAGAAAACAGACATTTGCTGCTTAAAGCTGCATTTCTGTTGGCCTACAATTCACACTATCCAGTATATTACCAATACCAATACGTTTCTGTGTATCAGTGAAGTCAATGATATACAAGGATGTATATTTCAGTGTGCTGGAATTACCTCTGCAGTTAATGGCATTGAAAAGAGGCATGTGAATCACAGTTGGAGCATCGCTGGAACCCTTGAACACATAGAAGTCCTGTGGTTCTGTATTTTCAGCAGGTAGAACAACCTCAGGGAAAGGAATCTGAAGGTCTTTGCACTTTTCAGCAGCATGAACCACCGTCTGCAAAACAAACACTTTACTGGTAATTTCTGTGTTTGTGACTCAAATATTAGCTGCAAATTGACCATCAGACAGCATGTTCTACTCTTTGCACCTTTTAGTCAACAGTCAGAGACCAGCTGAGAGGAGAAATGGTCTGTTTTCTTTTTTTCTGTCTGTTTTTGCTCAACATTTTGTTCATCAATAGCAATATTTTTACATCAATTCAAACTTCAAAAACACTTCAAATCTGCTTTGTTGCACTTTTTACAGTGAACAGGCCATTTTTACCTGGATTGTGAGCAAAAGGTGCAGTGTGTAGAACAAGCTGTCTAACGGCCTTTTTGCAGATCGTGTTTGAGAACTCAGACTTCCTTCTTTTGACAGGCAGATCACAGACGTATTGTGTTCCGATATTTGAATTCTCAGCAGGACTAATGTTGTACCCGTAACCTATAGCTCTCTAGCTAACAGTGTAATAAGCTTTCATAGCAAGCTCCATTAACAAATTTAGAAAAGCTTTAAAAACCTGCTTGCTGGGATTTTTGCCTGTGACTAAGAGCAGCAGGAGGGCAGTCAGTTGAGGGAGAGGAATGCAAGTAGCTGAGGTTTAACCTCACCTAACTGAAATCAAACCAACTGAAGTCAAAAAGGACACATTACAGGACTGTCTTTTCTGTTTTTTTGTCACAGATTCATTTTGTGCTTTTATATTTCAGCGATTTATAAGATTTTCACATGTGATTTAATGAGCCTCCTTTAAAACAATCCTCTCACCTGTGACTGAGGTCAGTGAAAATGCATCACTGTATTTATTTTGCTGTGATATTTATTTAAGCTGAAATAAAGCACACCATATATTCATTTGGAAACTCATTCTGACCAGATAGAGGAGAAAAACATCACCTGTTCTTCCCTCTCTGTCCATGGCAGTGATTTCTCGAAAGTTACAATTTGTTTCTTGAGATTTTGACAGTTTCAAACTTATGAGTCAGGGTGTATTCAAATGGCAAAAACTGCACATTTGAAACGTGAGGAACCCACCTTTGACAAGTTTCAGAGGGCAGAAAAGAAGCAGAGCAGATCTTTATGGGACATCATACATCCTTAAATGGTCAGACTATAGAAACTACCACTGCACTTCTTTTTGGAGGAGAAAGATGTACATCATCAGATGAAAGTACTTAAGTTGTAAATTGGTACTGGTGTACGAACAAACCACACAACACTGTGGCTGTCTGTATAGTTAAGACTACACCCAAAATGCTGCTTTCACTGTGTGTGCATGTGTGTAGTACCTTAAAAGGATCTCCTTCACTGAAGTCAAGGGAAATGATGAGATCGATGTCTCGTTCTTTTCTCAGTACTGAGAAGTAGGGTGAGTTAAGTAACGCTCCAGAATCTTCATATTCTCTCGTCTTTGACATAGAGACACTGGAGTCAACACCTTCCACTGATGACACAGTCAAACAATAATTAGTAAGGATAATATGGCTCTCCCATGGCTTCATTTACTCATTCTGTAATCATATTCATTATTATGTTTTTCTTGATCACTTTCCTTGAGTGAAAGGGATCTAGAATTTTTAGAAGGTTATTTAAGCGCAGGTTGGCAGGTCTCTGGCATATGTTATGTGTGTGTGTGTGTGTGTGTGTGTGTGTGTGTGTGTGTGTGTCTGGGTTGCTTCAGATAGTTTCAGTATATGGCTTGTTTTGTGTAGATAGCTTGTATTTGTCATTCTCAACAAGATAGCTTTTTGTTGTCATTTTATATATTTCCAGTACATATAAATTTCCATATATAAATTTCAATGACATCTCAAAGCTGTTGTTTCTGACAACAGCTTTGCAAGAAATACTAATATTATTAATTTGTTTTGTCTGAATACTTTTACCATCAAATTTTTAAACATATATGTGCTTATGAATACATGCTCTTTTGTTTATATTCATGTGTACAAGGTCAAAAGACATTATGTGTGTAAATTTAAAAGGTATATATTGTCACTGTCCCAGGAAAGGCAAGTATCTCTAAAATAGTAAGTTTACAGGAGAAACCTCTTACCTTTTAAAGTATGTTAATGTAAAGAGACTTTATTCCAAGTGATTTTGGAGCGTTTCTATTGGTGCATTCATTATAAACATTTAACACAATATAAAGGACAGCTGGTGTGTTGTTAAATGAGGTAGACAAATAAAAAAAATCGACAAAAATGGAGATATCAAGTTTTGTTTGGACATTGTTTTATATTAACCCTTTAATGCATAACATGGGTCAAAAGTGAGCCAACTGAGATTTTATTGTTGATATTTTTGCAATAAATTAATTTCATCATTAAAAATTCCTTGAATTCCTCAATTAACTTGTTTTTGATCATCACAAATTCTTGTTTTGACATTTCCTTCTTACTTTTTGAATAAAATTCATTTTTGTATCTCTACCTTTCCAATGCACAACATGGGCCAAAAATGACCCACATTCATTTCCTATGTTATTTCATGCATGGCTGAGAGTTTCTTTGCTATATCTTTGAAATGAGATTATTTTATAATTTAATATTTTTTAGGCATTCCTTAGATATTAGGTATTTGATTACCACAAATCATTGTTTTCATTCTTCTTTTCTTACTTCTAAAACAAAAAAATATATATTTTTTGTATCAGTACATCAAGTTTACACACTGGGGTCAAAAACGAGTGAATACAATGAGTGTAGAAACAAACACTCCTCATAAAGTGCTCAGTGACTGTATAGATCACTTAGTAATTAAATTATAGTTAATTTCCCACCTTCCATTTTGTAGAGATAGTTGTGATTCGTTCCCCAGGTCCAGTGCACAAGTTTTTCCATAGATCTCAAAATGGCAATCCAACTTTCTGACAAAATAAGATTAAATAAAACAAAATAAGGTTGACTTCAGATTTCTAATATAATCTGCCTTTAGACTAGATATGATAAAGTCATTAAAAAGGTTCCCATGGCTGAGATTTGTATAGTGGATTACAGACAGAGCAGTTACCAGTTGCTGTTTTAATAAATTGCAGTACTTTATTGTATTTCTAATTTCAATTTATTACAGCACTTGATTATAGTTTCACTGCACCCCTGTGTTTCTAATGTACAGCTGTAATGTGCTCTAATGTGCACCCATAGCTGACATGAAGATCATTTCCTTACAGTTTATAAAGGTAATGATGGAAACACAGAATCTAAGTTAAACCTTTGGCCACAAATGCTTCAATTTTGATGTGCACTGTATAAAAAAATAATCTCTGCACTACATTAACAATGATGAACAAAACTGAATGTCTTTTTTATTATAACATTACAGGATGATCAAGTAAACTGAAATTAAACACCATCATTGTTAGAATAACAAAACAAGCATGTTAAATGCAATCAAATAAATAATAAATCTGTTTCAGAAAAAAGGCACATGCAGAGCTATGATTATGTTTGTAATTTAGTATAATCAAGTCAGCAGATTAGTCTGAGGTGTATTGTTTGGAAAATGCATCAGTAGAAGGTTCTACTCACCGTCTTCTTCCTGTTCCTTAAACATGTCAGTGATAGAACTGCATGCTCGCAGCGTGAAATCGTTTAACTCAGTTTTGGAGATCGTCCTTGCTGATTTCTCTCCCCCCTCTTGATTAAAAGTCATCTTCTCTGTTTCTTTAAACTTATCTAAAGAGAGAGTTTATATATATGTTTACACTGTTTGTTGTTTATGTTGATGTGTGTTTATTGGGATGTTGTGTGTTGGGATGTGGGCTTAGTTTTGTGGGTTTTGTGTCACAGTCAGGCTGAAGCCTGTGGCTGCTAGTGACCTTCACCGTGAGTTTGTGTGTTGTTATGTGCCTATTTCCCACCTGGTTGCTCAATATAGAGCTGTTTTTGGTTCAGGGTCATGGCTTCAATCCACTTTTCACTCTTTCTTTTTTTCTCTTTGAATGACCAAAGCAATCATAACACTACCAAACTTTACCAAATGTTTTGGTTGTGACAATTTTAGCTAGTGTTGAGCATAACTCAAAAACACTAGCCAGTACGTGATGAGCAAACACAGTTTTGAACAGATGTCCACACACAAAACCATCATATTTTTAGTAAAACACTTAAATTGTAGAAAATAAACTTAATTGTAGAAAATCTATGTTTCGGTAGTGATAATTCATAATGTTACACATTGATTTTCAGACTTTGGGATGTAATCGCTCACCATGTGGCCATGAGGGACAGGGATGCAGTCTCACTTTCTGCTGGAGTGAGAGGATTGTGGCTAATATAAGACACCAGCTATAGAGTAAAACTGGTGATATGAAACCATTTTATACTTTTTTGAATAAACGTGTTGTGTATACATGTGTGGTGTGTGTTCATATATATATATATATATATATATATATTTAGATATAGATATAGATATATGTGTGTGTGTGTGTGTGTGTGTGTGTGTGTGTGTGTGTGTGTGTGTGTGTAAGAATGACATTTTTTAATGTTAGGGTAAAGTTATGTATTCTTTGGATTATTGTATATGCTTTTGAATACAACCTTTCAGGTGTTCATCCATGGCTTTGAGGTGATTTGTAAGATCCTCCTTTTTCAGTGCACGAAGGTTCAGCTCCACAAGTGTTAAGAGCGCCTCAGGAGCTTTAGGAACATCTGGCGTTTGTGATGCTTTCCTTTGTTGTGCACTTCCTGTTGTAGCTAAGGCAAAAAGTAATGAAAGAAATATGTAGAGAAATATTAACCTTAAAAATGGCCAACGTTTTAATACACACTTCTATAACCTAAGAACTCAGCTAGTTTGTACTGTCATTCATGTAGTTACTGAATAATAAATATGAGTAGGTAATAAGACTGGAATTTTAGGGGGTTAACTTTAACCATTCCCTGACTGAGTGGAACATTTCGTTTTTTGGCAGCAGTGTGAAATGGACAAAAACCTTAATGTGTGATTATGATGTCAATCAAATACAGACCATTTAAGCTAAGATAATCAGTTCCTTAAAAGGAGGTAAAACTTTGCATGATAATATAAGCCTAATATTAGCCAGTTTAAAAAAAAACAAAAAACTAAAAAGTAGCTTAAAAATCATTCAAATTCATTTTGCTCTTAAAGTATCACATTTTTACCTCATGTCTGTGCAAGACTGAGAAAAATGTAGAGCATGGGAAGCATTCATAATTTTGTTTTTACTTATTTACCAGAAAAATCAGAATGTACGCACCATCTAGCATTCAAAAGTTCTAATAAATGTAATGATTATTGTGATACAGCATATTGTTACTCAGTGATACCAAAGGCTATCAAAACATTTGATAGCTTTTGCTACAAAACCAATACCAAAAACCTTTTGCTGTCATTATTTTTTTCTAAATTTTTTTATGTCATATTGTATGATATGTGAGTGGTTGACTATGGTTGAAGGCTGCAAAGCATGTTCTGACCTTATACAACACAACCCAATTTAGTACCCATTAATTCAGAGATTTACACTCCGTTAAGGAGGAATAAATGAGGAGATTAACAAATGGGGAGGTTCATACGTGTGATTAGTTCTTGTAGTTTCTTGAGGATATATTCCATATCTGCGAGGACACTGCCACACAGACCTGTACAAATTCCAAACAAATAATAAAAAAACAGACAGTAAGATTAAGTGTCCAAAGTAAGTGTCCATTGTCCGGCCCCAGGGCCAGGCAAATCTTAATGGCTTCTATTTGAGAATGTGTTATAAGTGGCCCGCCAATTAGTACATTGCAGTTGTTCCTTAATACACTGTAGAAACTGGCTAATCAGATCTAACTAAAAAAATGACTTCATGTGGTATCAAGCAATTTAACTTAAAAAATTACTTGGATTGAAAAAATTCTTATCAGTACTACAAAACAGTGCAAAGCTTTGTGAAGTTATTATCGTTAGTGATATTGGATTCCGTGTGTGTGGAATTAGTATTTTAATCCAGCACACTGTTAAAAGTGGTTCGTTAGGTCTACTTAAAAAAATACTTTATGTGGTAACAAGTGTGACGGGCCTGTGCCATTACAGGTGGAGTTGTAGTGGGTGGGGCTGAAGGCCTCATCAAGAACACTACTTACACCTGTGTGGTGTGCTTGTGGCGGGAGCTCCTCTTTTGTTTTGTTGTTTGTGTCCCGGGCAGTTTGGTTTTGTTGGGCCAGTTTTCTTTTGTTCTTTTGGGCATTATGCTTCAGTTTATTTGTTTATTTTGGAGTTATTTTGGCCTGCAGTTTTTGTCCTTGAGATTTTTGCACCAGATCCTTACATTTATTTCTCATTAAATCATTTTTTCATTTATCCACTGTGTGCTTCCGTTTTATTTGTCATGATGTTGAGCCAGTCATGACAAATGTGGGGGCTCGTCCGCCTTTTTTTTTTTGTTGTTGTTTGGATTTTTTTTCTCCCCTCTCCTTTTGAGTAGTTGGGGGCGTGCAGTGTTTTGTTTGGGTTTTTGTATTAGCTGATTTTGCTTGTTGTTTAGTTTGGTCTGGTGCAGGCTTTTGTTGGGGTGAGCCTGTTTTAGTCCTTTGTGTGGCCCCATGGATCCTTTGGGCTTTGCTTTGCTGTCATTTGGTGAGTACTCTGCAGGGGTGGGTTGGTTTGGGTTGCAGTTCCCTCTGCTAGGTTTAGTGGATTGCCTTTATTTTTGTACCACTTCTGGGCTGAGGGCACCGCAAATAGAGGTTGGGTTTTGTGGCTCTGGCCAGAAGACTTCTGCCCTACTGGTATTTGGGTGCTTAAAGTGACTCAGCTCTTGGAAGGAGTATGAAGACTAGGTTGAGCTTAGATAGTTTTGGTTTAATAGTTAGGGGGAACTGCAATTGCGGTTGCCTCCCCTCCTGTTTGAGTTGTTTGTTGCTGAGTCTGCCTTGTGTTGGCTATGGCTTCTGTTAGTCAGTTTGTTCAGTCACCCTCTGAGGACTTATTGGATCAGTTTTCTAAGGATCAGCTGCTTGAAATTGCTGGTCATTATGATGTTGGGTTATCAATTACTGATAAACTGCTGAAGGAAAACATTAAAGCTATATTGAAGTCTGCATTGGTAGAGAAGGGTGTTTTGAAGACCTTACCTGTTTCTCCTAGTCCCTCATCTTTGCCAGCTTCTTTGACTTTTGAACAGCGAGAGTTAATATTGTTGGAAAGTGCAGCTAAGGAAAAGATTATTCAAACCCAGTCAGAGGTGGAGAAGCAGATTGAGTTGTCTAGGAATCAGTTGGAGCAAAAGCGACTTGAAGTTGAGGGTTTCTGTTTGGATTTGGTTAAGGCTGGCAGGGTTTCAGATACTGGATTTTCGGCTGGTACTGTTGAGAGACTTGGTTTTGATGTAGTTAAGTATGTTCAGTTGCTGCCTAGGTTTGATGAAAGGGATGTTGACAGGTTTTTTTCACTGTTTGAGCGTTTGGCCGACACAAGGGCATGGCATGATGTAGAGCATGCTACGTGCTTACTGTGTTCAAATGCAAGGGGACTGGGAATCAGGGTTGCCTTGGTTATTGTTGGCTGCTAGAGAGGCGTCTCAGGAAAGTTTGGGATTTAGTCCTAATCAACTTGTGTCTGCACATAATGAGTGGGATCCCTTGTAATTACTGACTGACGATTTAAAAATGTCAGACCCACCTAAAAATGTTTTAGGTTATGTTAGTGACTTTCAAACGCGTCTCTATGAGGCTGGTCAATTTGCTAAAGAAAAGCTCAGCCACTCTCAGGATAAGATGAAGCGTCTCTTTGATCGTAGATCAGAGGTTCGTGTGTTTCAGCCAGGTGACCAAGTGCTTGCCCTGTTGCCTGTTGTTGGCTCTCCTTTTCAGACCAAATTTGCTGGTCCCTATACTGTGGTGAGGCAGACATCTGATCTTAACTATTTGTTGGAGACACCAGACAAAAGGAAGGCAACTAGAATCTGTCATGTTAACCTGTTAAAGCCCTATTATGGCCGTGAGTCTCATGCAGAAACATTAGAGGTGTTAAATGACAAAGTACAAGTTGATGTTAAACCTATTCTTTTAGCTGATGCCAGTTGTGCTGAGGAGCTATCTCACCCTTCTGTTTTTCCCATTTCAGAGCCAGTTGATGAATTTGACCCTCATGAATGTTTTGCTGGGCCAGTTAAAAAATTCGGAAGCGCTGCATAATTTGGATAGCATGCTTGGGCATTTGCCTGCCTTGCAATGTTCAGATCTGATTAAACAGATCAGTGAATATATACCCCCACTTGCACAAATCTTATTCAGCATGATACCGATGTGGGTGATGCAGCCCCTATTCGGCAGCGGTAAAACCATGTCTGTCTGGATAAGAGAAGACAGTTGGAGAAGGAAGTTGATTACATGCTTAAAAACAAAATAGCCGAGCCTTCATTTTCCAGTTGGGCCTCTCCCTGCCTTTTGGAAAATAAGCCTGATGGTTCTTTTAGGTTTTGTGATGGTTCTTGTAGGTTTTATCGGAAGGTGAATACAGTGACTAAGCCTGATTCATTTCCTTTGCCACAGGTGGATGACTGTATAGACCAGGTAGGGTGTGCTCAATTTGTGAGCAAGTTTGATTTGTTAAAAGGCTATTGGCAGTTTCCTTTAACAAAAAGAGCTCAAGACATCTCTGCTTTCATTACACCATTTGGTTTAACGATTAACTAGTTTTATTCAACCTAAATAAATACTTTGAATGAACGATTCTTTCAATGAGTGTGTTTTTTAAGTTGAATGAAACTAGTTCAATTGCTTGTTACTACATGAAGTATAAGTAGATCTGATGAGCCAATTTTTACAGTGAAAAAGATTTTACAAAAGTTAAATATATGTAACATGCTAAAAAGAAACGTTTGCCCTTTGGTACTGCTTAATCATTTTGTTTTTATCATGGTCTGTGTTACCTTGTAAGTACAGCATGTCAATCTCAGGCTGCTTCTTAATTTTGTTTCCATTCTCAAACTGACTTCCCAAACAGGAGGAATCCACAAAGGCTCCAGTAAGAGAATAACCTGACTCATCTGGAGTGATCTCAAACCAAGGATCTACAAACGAAAAGTACTGTAAATGTTCCATTTTACCATGCACACACACACACACACACACACACACACACACACACACACATACATATAAAACACACACAGACAAATGATAAATTACCTGCATTCAGTCGGTCATATTTACACTGTTTGTCAATCACAGTGTAAACAGGATACGGGTCTTTGGTGTATTTACCCCTCTGCTCTGTGAGTTTGTGTTCATTGATCTGTGAAATGCAGAGAATACAGACTTCTACAGTGGGGTCCAAAACTCTGAGAAATGTCTGAGATTTGACACCCCGTGTGGGCTTGTGAGAGCGTATGGTACATTGTGTAATCTCCTTTCAGACTCCCTAATCCTGTAAATACTTTGGGAATCTCTGCTTGAACATCTCTTCTGTGTGTTCCACCACATCTAACCTCTCAACAAGTTTTAAAGCCTCAAAAGCTGGCAGACCTAGAAGGGGTCAAACAAGTGATCCTAATATAATACTGTGTGAGTTAAAAGCTAGCCAATTCCCACTATGCGAACAAGTACTGCACAACTCACAGAATCCGGAGAAACAGGATAAATTAAAGACACCATGTGGTAATGTACTTCATTACTAAAGAGACACAGACAGCTGTAGTCTTCTTTTAACTCCCATTTCACTTGTACTCAATTGCCCTCTCTTCTTAACGACTACAGTGAGACACATTCTTGGATCAAGAATGCTGAGAAAGTTATCAAGAAAGTTGTTGAGAAAGCAAATTGTAATTTATTAGAACCCTAAAAAAGCATCCAATCATAAGCAATACGCAAATTAGCCAGTTATGATTGTATATGATTTAGACAGTTTGTGGTAGTCATTTTTATTAGTTTGCCTCTAATTTTACAGGACATCAGCGAGCAAGATAGGGCAAAACTTAAAAATCCTACTTAGGAGAATGGCATTGCAGCAATGACAACTCATAACACACTCACAGCAAAACAGACAAGCAAAGTCACACACATTAGGTAAGAAAAAATTTTGCACTGTATTTAATCAGTTTTGTTTGTGTTTTTTTCACAAGCCCCGTGTCACAGTCGAGTCGTGAATCATTCAACATGTAAGTCGAGAGCAACCCCGAGTTCAATTCGCTGACTCGAGTCCTCATCTCTGCAAGAGTGTCTACTTAGTCTACACTTCGTTGTCACACCAAAAAATGGATAAAAGCAGGCTTGGACTAATGTGTCCATCGCATTTAAATGCTGTCACTCAGATTGACGTTTATCATGTAATAGATGTGGGCAAATGTTGTATTTTGAGGTTTTCTTAGCTTGAGGGTGGATTTAGTGATTCTGGACAGCTCTAGGCAAAGGACAGTTATGGATGCCCTGGATGCACATTTTTTTATTTAGTTGATGCTCTGGGTAAATGATATCATCTTAAATCTAGTTGATACATGTGATATTTCCCATTTTGAGATTGTTGTAAGAATGTGTAGAGGATTCCGTCTTTATTGTGTCATTTTACCAGGCACCAGTAGGTGGCACCCTCAGACATGTACTAGGCAGCTCTGGGGTCCATAGGCACATGGTATCTAGCTGTAGCAGATAGTCAGCTGCTCCTTTCTTCATTGTTATAGCCCATAGAGTTCAGTTCAGTTCATGTGTTCATGAAGAGGTTTGTGATGACCTTTACTGTACCCTTTGTGAGGTTATGTTCTGTTATGTTATGTTCTGCACTGTAAAAAATGGCTCATCAGATCAACCTAAAAAAATGACTTCATTTAGTAACACGCAAATTTAATTAGTTTTCTTCATCTCAAAAAATTACAGTAAAAAAGCTGCTTTTTTAAAAGCTGATAGAGCTCCTAAAAGTAATAAGAAACCCAGTGAATGTATTGTTATCATGGCACTAATGTAACAGCTATTAGCATCATTATAGCAGATAAAGTAAAGGCTACTTATAAAGTTACCATTTTTCATTAAACACTGCTGTAAAAAAGAGTAACTGGTACATGCTCAAGATCAAATAACAAAATAAACCACACTCAATCCAGTTAATAATGAAGATATCAGAGTGGGAAGACCAGTTTAATATTGAATTTAACAGCACCAGAAAAGTTTTAGTGGCATGCAGGTTTCACAGGTTTGCCAGCATCAACAACAACATTAGGAGTATATAGTTTGCCGGTATTTAATAACGAGTATGTAGAGGTACAAACTAACTCAGTATTTAGATGTTTCATCAAAAGATCCCTGAGTTCTGTTTCCTTCAATATTTAATTAAATAAATCTCAAAGAAGAATCAGGATTAGTATAAAATCCTGTAGCAATTCCAGTGGTCTCCACTCACAAGTGATGTACAAATGTACAAGATGTACAAGTGTGAAGGACTTGTTTAAGTGTAATACTACTGCTAATAATAATAATAATAATAATAATAATAATAATAATAAATGAATTGTTCTCAATCCCTGCTTGGTTTCCCACATTACTTGAGGGGACTCAAAACAAGTAGAAAGAAATTAAGTTCAGTAACTTAATAAGTGTGTAGAATAATTCGTAGTAAAAATGATCACTTTACTGGGAGCAACTCAAGGTAGTAATTAATTTGTAATGATAAATCAGCAGATGAATTAACATATAATTAACAAGACAAATTTCTAATTTCTTAGTTACTTGTTATTTCTTTATATGAGTAAACACACTTATCAGCTCATTAACAGTGTAATAAGCAGCAGTTAGTGCACATAAACGAGCTATGAACTAATGTAAAACTAAATTATCAATTAACACTCAAATGCAAATAACTGAATCATCAACTACTAACTAATGCTTCATTAATGTTTAATGCATAAATAATCAGTTATCAGTTATTAATTTGCATAGAATTACCAATTATTTTGTGGCAATGTAAAGTGCTAAAAATGGTCACAATATTATCTGCAAGCAATTATATTTACAACAAAAACATGCTAACCTAAAAACGAACTTGTAGTATCAAGCAAGCAAGTTTTATTCAACTTAAATATTTAGAATAAACAATGCAATGATTTTGAAGCACACTTCTTATAGTAAAGCCTCACATAACCTTATCTGCAAGTGTCTGACGCTTCGTTTAACATTACATTACTTTAAATGAACAAAATCAACATTAATTCAAATCTCTAAACCAGTTGCAATCGACTTTTCCTCTGTTCTCTTTTTACAGTGTATATAGTTCAGAATATGTTAAACTTCAAACAGTGTTTCTAAACTTCATTATATATTTGGAGCACAGGTATATGACTAGAGGTATAAATTATACTGACCTCATTCACCATGTTAGACACAATCAGTACCGACCACACATCTGTCAGGCTGAAGTTGTCTTTTTCTGAATAGTATTTCGCCAGCTTTTCACCCATTTCCTTCAAACTGACGCTGCCATCAGCAAGTCTTTGGACAATGTTATTTTTCACAGTGTCCAGTTTGGTGGACCAGTCTGGTTCTTTATATAATGATGCCATGCACCTTCAGAGAACAGATGGACAAGACAGTGCTTTAATTTAAATAAATAAATAAATAAATAAATAAATAAATAAATGCTGTTATCAACAGCCAATATACAAAAATGCAAAATTATCAAAACAAGTTTACTTCATGAGTTGGTTGAGGGCAAATTTGATCAGGCAAAAGACTCCAATAATCAAAACAAACAAACAAATCAACTACGCTAGATCTTTAATTGAAATCCTCACCTAGTAGCAAAAACAAAAAACACTATCTACACTAGTCTTCCCTATGGCTTAACATAATTACATGGGTTGGGGCCCGCCCCTTGCCTAAGGTATCTATACAATGGGCAGCTACATATGTAAAAATGTATGAGCGCGCCCATCTAACCTGTCCAGAACCCCAAGAAAGCAAAGCATGAGAGAGAGTGTATGAGAGAGAGAGAAAGGTAGATAAAAAGAGCCTAGACAGCCATAAAACAGCAAGGCTAGCGTGATTAACAGTGCGAGGCACGAAAACACAAGCTAACATGAACTGAACAAAACTCCATCAATACACAGACAAAGCTATCGCAGACATACACAAAACTGCATGAGCAGAAAGAACACAAAGCTTAAGTGTCTGCGACAGCAAATGCAACTAGGACCACACCAAAACAGCTTGGAGCACAGGGGTAACGCCAGCTCCTTCATGAGCTTTGCCGGGCTGCTTTTAAAGTTCAAGTCCCTCCTCCAGGGCCGGAACTCTGCATGATGATTGGCCGTCAAGTGGTACGCGTCAAGTCTCTAATGATGTCTTTCAATCCAACCAGCCTGTAGCAGAGATAGGGAGCAAATGAGGGAGGAGACATACGGAACAGAGAGAGAAAGAGAGAGCGAGCGAGCGAGTGAGCGAGCGAGAGAGAGAGAGAGAGAGGAAAAATACCGGCCAGACACCCCTTATCCAGGCCAGACATCACAGACAGTCAAGGAGTTACTATCCAAACCAACAACTCAGAGAAATGCTGTTACATTTTAACAAGGCTGTAAAGTGCAACGGTTTTGCTGTGTTAAAGATTAAAGGTGCATCAGTCAGTTTATTTCTTGTATTACTAATACAAATAACTTGGAAAAAATGTTTTAGCAATGACATCAGCACAAGTGTATTACATCATTTTATAAGACCCTACACCATATTACTCCACCCCGTCCCTGCCTGATTGGCTCCAAAAAATGTGGGACAGTCCGGTTAGAGAGCTGCAGGTGGTTTTAGTGCTGTGGGTGAAAAACAACTGCCAAAAACATACTGATAAGAAACATGTTAAAACAAGAAAGATGAAAAAAACTCACGCACAATATTTTTTTCACTATGGAGGTGCCCAGACAGGTAATGTATGGAAAAGAAATACTGGCTGATGTTTAACATGTTACACCAGTTTCGACCAGGAAGCGGCAGCATGCTAATGATAAGGGAGAAGGTAAAAAAAACAGCTGCTCCATGCTGTCTGAAGGGCTGGTATAGCATGCTAATTGTTAACTACATAGCTCCCCAGTTATGTTTTTTTTTTCATGTGGTCTCTCAATGATAAGGAGGAAAATAAATATGGAGGACAAATTTTGTTTTTAGGTTTTTGATGGTTGAAATTGTGATGCTAGAAATATTTATTTGTCTGTTTTTGGAATGTTATACAGGCAGAAATAATAACAGGGTTTCCATACAAATTGGTCTCAAAATCAGCAACATTCACCCTGGACAGATATGTAAACACAACAAATATAATGAGTTCAACAGTTTGAATGGCCAAATTTAAATGACAAATCAAGTAGATAAATCTTTATCTATCAGAGATCTTTATCTATCAGAAATCTATTAAAGTAAAGTAATGCTTTGTATAAACAATCTTAATAGACATTTATGTAATACCAGTCAACCACATCAAACTCGATTATTCTCAAGCAAATCCATATAAACGGAATGCCAAGTACTTGGATAGTATAATTAGATTAGAAATGTAATGGTATGTCATCATAATTTACCAAGTGGAATAAATCCATATTTGCCAGGGGGAAGCAGTAATGTATCCCTGTCTTGATATTTTTATCTTTAAACCACACTGTAAAAAGTGGCTCATCAGATCTACTTAAAAAAATACTTCATGTGGTAACAAGTAAATTAACTCATATTATTCAACCTATATAAATACTTTAAACGATTTTTTCAATCAAAGTAATTTTTTTGAGTTGAATAAAACTAGTTCAACTGCTTGTTACCACATGGAGTAATTTTTTAGGTAGATCTGAAAAGCCACTTTTTACAGTGTAATCCTAACCCTAAACTTAACCTCAACCCAAAACCTTATCCAGTCAAACTCCAGTTACAGAATGGTGTCTGTATCAGCTTGTTGAGGATGTTGAGATGGTCTACATTATACTTCTTTCATGTTCAGTGAATTCTCAGGTTAACATCTACAGATATGATCTTGGACACACTAAATAAAGTGAAATTACGCGTTTAATTAAATTTCTTGGTAATCTCCTTAACATATTTACAACCCCATTTCCAAAAAAGTTGGGTCACGATGCAAAATGTAAATAAAAACAAAATGCAATTATGTGCAAATCATTTAAATACTATATTTAATTGAAAATACTACAAAGACAACATATCAAATGTTGAAACTGAGAAATGTTATTGTTTTTTGAAAAATGTAGGCCCATGATGAATAATATGTGAATGATATTGACATTGTTTCACTTTAGGTGCACCTATGGTGTACCAGGTTAAAACAGTGCTATCTGCAGAGCTTTGCTTTTTATGTTTTCTAGTTGTTGAAAATATTTGACATTTTGTGTGACATTTTAAGTTGGTACATTTAGAATGGGGACACCTGCTGTTCATTCCATTTCTGGAATAAAAGTTTTATAACAAAACTTGCTCTTGTTTTCAGTGAAAGAAGGGGATGATGTTAGGAATGATCAAGAAAAAGTTAAAGGTATTAAACAAGACAATATTTGCTTAAATTTTAATTGATTTTTAATCTGTTTGTATATTTACATTAAATTATATTTATAAGTTAACCATTTTTAAATTGATGGAATTGAAATTTTACCATGATGAAACATTGATATGGAAATATTACAATAACTAATATTACTAGAGTTGTGATCAAATAGTGTTGGAAAAAAGGGACTGAATTGTGTTGGAATAAAATGATCAAAGAATTTTATTTACTTTATTAAATCAAATTTCAGTAGTGTTGTATCAACACACAGTACTTGTGTTGATTAAACATAAATGGTTTGTCTTGATTTAACTGAGAATTGTGTTAAATCAAAACAAACTATGTATGTTCATTCAACACCAAGTACTTGTGTTGACTGAACATAAATAGTTTATTTTGATTTAACACAATTCTGTAAGTTGTGCCAAAGCAAACGATATGTGTGAAACCAATGTCCACTATTGAATTGAGTAAATCCAATGTGTTCTTTTTTTCAGTGTAACTTGGCCACCTTACTGTGAGAATTTAGGCTACACCCCTGAACATGATGCACACCATCCACTGAAGAAAAAAACTTTATGTAATGAGTTGAAATGGATCTAAATAAGTAATTGAAATATCTAGTATGAGTCAGTACCAGGTAGATCCTGAAACTCCACTCAGGTACATGATGCAGTCCAGCAGTCCCTCTTCTTTCAGCTGACTCAGTGACCCCAGCAGTCCAACCATAGCTCTCAAAGCACCACCAGAGCCCAGCACTGCGATGTTCGGCACCTCATCCTGCATCATTCAAACACAAATCTTAAATACTTAAAACAAACAACTGTAGTGCTTCTACTGCTCTTCACTAAAATACAATGAAGGATGAAATGTTGATAGATGCAGTTGTTTATAATGCATTTATTCTTGAGTAATTTTAAAGACATTAGTGTTAAGCTTTATACTATAGTTGAGCTTTATTACCTGTCTATAAACCACTTTGAGCCAGCAGGAAAAGTGCTATATACATAAAGATTATTATCATTATTATTATTATTATTATTATTATTATTATTATTATTAAATAAGGAATGATCTATGACAATAATAATACCATAATACTACACTGCAGTGTGTAACATAGTAGTGTTTGTTGTAGTTTAGTGTTCTAACTAAGGGCCAGATTTACTAAATAAAATCAGGCCTTAATGAATTTTGCACCTACAGAAGCACAGAAGCCTCTTTGCTTGTGCACACAGTGTCACAACTTAGCTTCAGGTTTTACCACACCTGAGACCTGACATGCAAATTAACATCTTGGAGCGATTAACTTTATGTATTTAATGCCAACGGGCAATTGATGCCAGGGCTATTGGAAAAGCATCATATCTCCACGACTGTAAGGAGAAGGAGAAGGAGAAGGAAAAAACATTCTTACCTTTCAATGGAACTGCTTGTCTTTTCGCAGCTAAGACTCAAATCCTCTGTCAGAAATTTTAGCTTTCTAGAGAGAATTTCCACTTCTTGTCAACAACTATTTGAACTGGGCTCTGAGTGGCTCTGTATATTGGCGTCACTGCCAGTGACATGCACAGACTTTGTTAAGGGTGGGGGCTGATGTACTTCAAAAGGGCATTTTGTAATATTATTTAAATTTTATTTGAAGAATGATCATTTAATTTAGCTTATTATTATTATTATTATTATTATTATCCAGACACAGAAAACTATGCAACTATGCAATCTAACTTCATTTTCTATCTGTTTTTTTGTTTGTTTGTTTTTTGTTTGTTTTTTTGCAGCCAGCTCATATCAGCTTAATACTTTACATTCCAGGTGTATTACATACAAAGGCTTATTATTCAGTAACTACAGGGTCTTCAGTGTAAACCAGTTGAGAAGTGTGTAATAAAACTTTGGGCCCATGGCCTGTTAAGTGGTTAATAAAAGTGCTGGCAACACTTTCTCAGTAATCCTAAAGATGACTTGGTGATTAACCAAACCATTAACCAAACTCAGATTTGAAAAAAAAAATCTATAAAAAGTTTTTTTTTTCTTCTTGATCAAGACTTTCAAGCATGGCAGTATAAAAAGCTCCTTGACTTTAAATTTCTAGCAGGGGTTCAACTTTGATATGATGTAAGATATCAGATTACGGAGGGAATTCATTCAACTGGGAATGACTACAGTAAGATGAAGCTTGCACGAATAGGACCACACTAAATCTGGTCCTAAAAGTCAAATATTGAAGAATATGATTTACCTCACTGCAGGATATACCATGCTGCTTCAGACACTGTTGAACGGTCTCTCTCCTTCTGGCCAAATGCTGCCTCTCCGCTTCACTCAGAGAGTGACCAATTCTCACCTCATTGCTAGGCACACTACACAGGAGTGGTTTCATTGGCAGAAGTATGTAGTAAAAGTAATAAATAATAAACAGATAAACAGGTACCTTTCATACATGTAAAAAGTGATCATCAGTAAATCATCAGTAATATCACTAGCTTGACTTAGTAGAGCTGAGATTAACTAAAAAAAGTGGACCTAGCTGTGGTCATTGTAAAAGGGTAGACAGTATTGTGCACAAATACATTTCAAATATGTGCACCAAACAGTGAAAAGAAATTGCTGTAAAATCATTTTTAAAAAGGGAAACAAATACCCTTGACTACTGCTGGTCTGGCCCATCTCTGAAAGGAAAGGGATGAAAAAAGCAAATGTGAGAAACGTCATTTTGAAAAAAAAAACAACAATTATTTCTTGAATGTTGTTGGCATTTTATTTACATCAACACAATGTTTAAAACTGCTGTCATAAAGTTGAGTAATTCAGCAGCACAAGAAGGTTGTGTTCTGTTCTAACTCAAATTCTGAAAGTTAAAAGGTAAGGAACACTTCTGAACACTGCTGGACAGAATTAATGAGAAAATGGAATCATCATATCAGGCATTTTACCCACCTACAGGTGAGGAAGTGAAACATTTAGCAAACTTTCTGGCAAAAAACTGTTGGTTGAGAAACTGGTATGACAACAATGACACTGCCCATTTCTCTTTTAACTGTCATAATGAGATATCTATTTGTAAAATCAAAAAGTAGAACACTGCCAAATTCGATTAATGTTAATATCTGCGTTAAGCATCAAAGTCCACAGAATAATCATGATGTATGGGCAAATCATTTGACCATACATAATTACCTGAACTGAGTATGAACAAAACATATGTTTACTGCTGTATACACAAGTAAATTGAGTATTAAATAATTGTAAATTAAATTCACTGCTAGGTGAAACTCATTTTAACACATTCATATTGTATTGCAGAGATTGTACACCGATTGAAAGTCAGTGTTGAAAGAGCTGACATACCAAATTTCTTTCTGCTGAGTGTGGTTCTATTGTGGCTAAATGCTACAGACTTCATGTGGTAACAAGCAATTGAACTAGTTATATTCAACTCAAAAGAAATTACTTTGATTGAAAGAATCGTTCATTCAAAGTATTTATTTAGGTTGAATAAAACTAGTTCAATTACTTTTTACCACACAAAGTGTTTTTTTTTAGGTTGAACTGATTAGACTACAGCAGTTCATGGTTCAGTTCTGCAGGACAATGTTCCCAAGTTAAACCTGCAGGAGTTTTTTTCCTGTTTACCCAAATGTTTGGGGTTTTCCCAATCTGATTTAACATCTACAGCTGAGTTTCAGCCTTTCATGCATGCTGAAAGAAATTTATTTGAGGGAGACTTATCACTGATGTTATGCCAAGCCGGAAAATTTGCATATGCTTTACATTGCAAAGTGGTGTTACACTGTAATAAGTGGCTCATCATATCTACTTAAAATAATTACTTACATTACATACTTACATGTGGTAACAAGTAAATTAACTAGTTTAATTCAACATGAAATAAATACTTTGAATGAAAGATTCTTTCAAAGTAATTTTTGAGTTGGATAAAACTATTTTGATTGCTTGTTACCACATGAAGTATTTTTTTTTAAAGTAGATCTGATGAGCCACTCAGATCTACTTAACATTCTTAACATTACACGGGATATCTGGATAAGTTGAATTTACTTAAAAAAAAAAAAATCAGGAAACTGGTTGCTTTAAAAGAGTTAAGCAATGTGTGGTGAAAACTTGAGTTAGCGTTACTTGAAATGTCAAGCTGTTATGCCTAAACTTCTACTTAGTATCTTGAGCTCAAGTAAATAAAATATTGATTAGTAATATTCATGGAAAAACAGACGCACTGTACAGTGTGAAATTTCTTCAAGTGGTAAGAAGTGAACTAACTAGTTTTATTCAACCTAAATAAATACTTTAAATGAACGATTTTTTGGATCAGTGCCATTTTTTGAGTTTAATAAAACAAGTTAACTTGCTTTTTACTACATGAAGTCAATTTTAGGTTCATCTGATGAGCCATTTTTACAGTGCATGCCCAAATCCATTGCCCTAGAACATTTAAGCATAGATGAACAAATTAGCAAGTTTAAATTCAATGTACTTAAAAATACTAAACACTGCATTTTAAAATAACCAATTTTTTGTGTATTAGATTAATGTAAGCCCATGTTTGTACAACTCATAAATTCTAATGATTTTAACTTTTTGAGTTAGTCACTTTGTCTGATTAAGGAATATTGACCACTTTGACAAACAGTGAAGAGTTAACCCTTAGTGTGAATGTGGCCATCCGCCAGCACAGACCTACTCTTAGCAGCAAGGAGAAGAATAACTTGCCCTTTTAGCTAACAATACAAAATCAAACATATGCAAAGTATACATGAGTTATGCAAATATGAAAAGCATACACATGAGGAAGGTTAGCCTGAATGAAACATACATTATGCAAACAGATGGAGCCAGGGGCAAGTGGGAAAGAAGTAAGTTACCCAACAAGATCATGTTAACAAAACAAAATGTCACTGTATTTCACAGCTAACTTAAGTTTCACACTGTAAAAATAGCAACAATTTTTAGAATATTTGGGATGATTTTGTTCACTCAAATGGCATTTTTGAGTTGAAGCAGCTTGTTGGAATTTAGTCTCTTGCCATGGCAGCTTTGAAACTGTCACATTCAAAAATGAAACTGTACTGCAGTCTTATTAAGGTTACTTAACAAATGTGTATAACTGAGTGCACAGTAAAAAAGCTCATCAATTCAACAAGCATTTGAACTAGACTAGTTTTATTAAACTCAAAAATTACATTGAAAGAATCATTAGTTTGAATAAAACTAGTCAATTTATTTGCCAATCAATTAGTTCATTTACTACCAACTGCAGTACAATTTTTTGAACGTTGCAGTTTCAAAGCTGCCATGATTCAACTCAAAAATGCCTTCTGAGTGAACAAAATCATCAAAAAACATTTGCTTAACTTAAAATAGTTGAGTAATATGTGGGATATATTCAGATTTATGTGGAAAAGGAAAATAGGCATGGTCAGGTATCTGTATGTTAATCTACACTGTAAAAAATGGCTCATCAATTCAACCTAAAATTGACTGTGGTAACAAGTAAATGAACTGGTTTTATTCAACCTAAATAAATACTGTGAATGAAGAATTCTTTGAATCAAAGTCATTTTTGAGTTGAATAAAACTAGTCCAATTGCTTTTTACTATATCAAGTACATTTTTTTCAAGTTGACCCAACGAGGCATTTTTTACGATGTGGTTTTAATAATCATTTATCAGTTTTAAGAATACATAAAGTATCACTGGTCAGACAGTTACAGTGCCATAATTGAAGAAGAGAAATCAACAACAAAAATGCAGTAAAAATGAACTTTTCTTATGTTGTGATCTTACCAAGACTCAGAGCCGAGGGTTAGTTCACTTGGTGAAAGATAGCAAGGTTGAGAGAACAAAAAAGTTGGGAAGACTCTGCATTGAAGTTTGTGAAGTTGTGCTGCTGGTCAGACCAAACATAACACTGCTGTGCTTTAGCTGTTCCTCTCTCTCTCTCACTCTCTCTCATTCTCTTTCTCTCTCTCTCTCATTCTCTTTCTCTCTCATTTTCATCTTCACACGTCACACTGACATTTTGTTGATTTGTTGATTGATTTACTAAAATATGTTTGTAACTTATCATCCATAACAATTACAACACAAAATAATTATAATATCATAAAATGAGTTATTCATTATTGCTTTACCTATACTCTCTTATCTAAAAGTGTCCTCATTTCTACATCCAGCAATATAAATAACAAATAAACCACACACACACACACACACACACACACACACACACACACACAATCTCAAATGTGTCAAAAAAACACAAAGTAAGAACACAGAGGGAGACAGAGTCAACTCGATGCAACAAACAGCTGTATTAAAGCAGCAAAGTCCAGTCAGTACAAATGAAAGTCTTTGATGTGCAAAGACACTCTATGCTGGTGTCAAAATGGGCCTGTGGGGGCGGGTCAGTTCAACCCTAAAAAACAACATAATTGGGGGAAGCATGGTTTATAGGTGCGGGAGTGGTATATGGTAATGAACTGTGACTCAGTGGTCAAGGGTCAGGGACACATTAGGTGGTGCAGTAGGAGGAGAGGTTAGCTGAGGAACTACAGGAAGGTCAGGCCACAAGGGACAGACCAAAGGGCTAGGAGGAGCTACTGGATTGGGGACAAAAAGATTGATGCAAATATATTGAATACACAATACATAGACACAAACGTCAGCACGTAGGACATCAAAGACTAATATCTCATTAGGGTCAACCCCACAAACAATTTGAAAGGTCCAGCTAGGTAAATCAGGACCAGTTGGGCCTGGGGACAGAGCACTGAGGCACACTGTAACTGACATGCAGTACACTGCTGACAGTAATGGGAGAGCCCTGTCTGGGTGTGGACACCTGACCATCACATCTTTGTACCCATCCGGTCAAATGAGCATTTGTGAGGTCAGGCACTGATGTTGGTTAAGAAGGCCTGGTTTACAACTGATGTTACGGTTCATCCCAAAGTTGCTCAGTGTGATTAAGATCAGGGCTCTGTGCAGGCCTTTGGAGTTGCCCCACACCAAAATCAAAGTATACCTCTATGGACAGATATGGAAAGATAGTAACATATAATTGCCTATGAATGCTGTAGCATTAAAACTGCCCTCTGCTGCAACTGTAACTGTGTAGCTAAGCCCAAACCCTGAAAAAGAGCTTACCATTATTCCTTCTTTACCCAGCTTTATACTTGGCAATGTTCATTCCGGTACGTTCTTCTGGCATCCACCAAACGCAGGTTCATCCATCCTACTGTCAGATAGTGACACATGATTCATCACTCCAGAGAACATGTTTTCACTGCTCTGGTGCTTAAGACCACCCCAGCTGATTCACAGTTCTTGTGATGACATTAATAGGTGCCAACCTGGGGGGTC